CAGATGAGTGCTTGGGAGCAGTTGGGCAGGAGTGGGCAAGTGTGCCTTTTTTTCAGGGTGACAGTAGTATCCCATCTCACTCATCTGCCCCACTGTGCTGCTCAGGTTTAGCACCTTCTGCAATGCTGGCCAGGCACATTGCTGAACTACATTCCTCAGCCTCCCTGAGCTTAACAAGTCTTCTAAAATAAGGCTACAAGTTTGAAGAGTCTAATTTGCCATGTGGAGGTTATAAGGTTATTTTCTTGCTAGGAATTATGAGTAGTTTCCATATATAGAAAAAGGTTTCCTTTCTCACACATGAATATAATAACCACAGAGATCCATATCCCCTTTGAACAGCCTTTCACATCGTCATGCACATTCCCCAGTCTTCCATGTTCACAGAAAATTAACTGATTTAAAAATTTCTCATGCCAAACTTGTATCTCTCAAACCTTGTCCACCCTGTTGTCCTGTGACAGGCAGTCCCTCTCCCTCATTTCCAACAGTCTGTCCTGCCCACACATCCCAGACCACCGCTTTGCTCAACCCTTTCCATCAGAGACACTGCTACACCTCCAACCCCACAACCACACCCCAAGTCTCAGCCATAACTCAATTTAAGCCCCTGTCTTGTAGCAGGGCTTGGAGGATCCACCCACCACAGGCAGGATGAGAGCCAGTATCTGTACCAGACAGTGGTTCCTGTGAAGATCAGTAGATTAGTTGGAATCTCTGATCCATGGTAAATTAGCCTTATGAACAGCTTAGGGTGTAGGATGTACTGTCAGAGGACTTGGGCTGTTTGAAACGAGGCTCACACATTCCTGTTGGAACACCCGTGCTGCCTGACCTGAACTGGTGCTACAGGCCCCGCGCCAATGCACTAACAGGATCAGTGTAATCTGCTATCTTCAAATGGCACAGCCAACATCCTAAGTCAGAAAGCTTTTGAGGTTTTATTTCTGCTGCCAGACACAACAGCAAACCCATTCCACTTAAGGCAGATTTATTATTAGAGCTACCAAATACCACCAGGCCTTTGCACTCCAGACCCTCCTCTAGACCTGCCAGCTTTACAGACCTAGAAACCCAGTCAGTCTCCTGCTTTGGGAAACCAGAGGCAGTGTGATCCCCACATCTAATCTTTCTTTCCCTTTGATCATTTATCCTTTACAACCCTTACAGCTCCTTATGGCTCTTATGAAATCAGCCCTCAAAGCCAGGCAGCACACCTGGCAGGATTCAGCAGTCATACGTGCCCATCAGCCCCTCCTGCTCCAGAACCAGCCCCTCTGGAGATACCAGCACAAGGACTCCAGCGCATCTGGGAACATCATGTTAACATGACAGTGACCTACACACAGTTCCTGCAACCTGCCAACAAACCAAGCCCACATGCTACTGCCTTCTGTGCCCAAGTCCTAACTACAATCATTATGGTTTTATAGCAATTCTATGAACCCAAAATAAAAAACTTAACACTAGTATTTTACCTCTGTTCCCTTGGTTAGGATCGGGAAGGAACTTAAGTTGTGTGAGTAAGCAAGTTTCCAGTGCTATCTCTCTGATGTTGATCTCTAAATCCAGAGTAAACTGCTCCATTTGCTTTTCATCCCTCTCCATGACTAGTTTTAAAATCCAGTATCCCATGGTATTATCTAGGAAGCGTCACTGTTGTGTTATCTGAACCTTATTGCTGTTTTACCCTCTAGTACTGTCAGAAAGGATTTCTCTCAGTTTTATTTCTCTCTCTCAGTACATTTAAGGTTTTTAAAGATAATTATTGCACATGCACGAGAGCTGAAGTCACGTGCCCAGCTTCAGCATTTGAGGTTGACTGCCAATCAGTCACCTTGAGCTTCCTTTGTAGTCAAGGGAAATAATTAGGCACCTTGGGAGGCTGATTCAACTCATTCTGATACTTATCTAACACAAAGCAGATGAATGGCACTGTGAGACTGTGTATTTCTTTCCACTGGATACAAAGGGACTCAAAGGGAAAAATATATTTGAATATTTAACTGTAGGCTTTTAAATCAAGCAAAACTAATGTCTAGCCCAATGTTGTTCTTGAGCTTTCCTCTTGAATGCCAACAGCTGAGCATTTTAATATGTGATACATATGGAACGCAAACACATGAAAGCTGTTGCAGTCACTGCCACTAAGGATAGTGATGAACAATAAAAACAATTTTCTAATGTCAAAGGGGGAGAGTATTTCACTGACATCCTGTTTTGGATAACATCTCCTTTTGCTCCATCTCATGTGAAAGGTTTAAAAGCTCTGAGCATCACCTTTTATTAAATATTTTTCCCAGAGATGTTTTCTTTCTTACTAAAACAAATTAACATGTTCACATGTTCATTAACAGAGACAAAAGCCAATTATAAAATGAGGAACATTCTGGAATGGGAAATAATACTTATTTTTGTTATAACCCAAAGAATAAACAGGCATCACTAAGTAGAAGTCAGTGTTTTATTCAAACCGCAAACCAATCCAGAAAATTACATACATGCAAAACATGGCATGCTGTACAAAAAAACAATGTTGAAATCATCAATATTTCAACTTCTCCCCAGTTTGAAAAGACTGTCCCAGGAACTTAACTGCTTGACAAAAAACTACAGTTCTGGCAATATCTAGGATTCATAACCTAATCTAATCAGAACGGGATGGGAGCCACCACCCCTCGAGCCCGGCACAGCCTGATGGTGCAGATATATCCCCTTCCAGCAGTTTGGCCCTGCAGTGCTGAAGTCAATAGGAGCTTTGTGAATCATTTCAGTAGGAAAAGATTCTGTGATAACACAGAACTCCGAGAGAAGGGCAGCAGTCCTTCCTGTATGAGTAAAGACAGAACACTGACGCATGTACAAAGCGCAAAGGAAGAATAGATGAGGTGGATACAGCTGAGCTCCTTCAAAACAAAAACATACCCTAGAGCATCTCACACATGTCCTTTCCCAGCCAGAGAAGATCTCTTCTTTGAAGAAATATGTCCAAACCACTCTCACGCTAAGGCTTCCTACGGCTGACTAAAATTAAGTTGATAGGAGAAAGAAGAATAAGAAACCCTTCAACTCTAATAATTTAAACTATCAAATCATATCTTAATTAAGTGCCTATCCAGTAAGCACTTAAAATCTTTCTGAACTTAACGAAGAAATAAAAATGTAGCATGATGCTGTTTTACATATCTTAATATATTTAGGCTACTGTAGTTCTAATTATTTTGAATGCTCAGAAGATAGGTGTGATTTTGTGTGAATGTGTGCTCATGCAAGCACAGATCTAAAAATTCATACATACAAAAAAACATTCAGGGAGAATCTTGTAAAACTTAATGAAAATTTAGTACAACAGGGCAATTAAGTATTTTTAAAAAACTATATGTATCCTCTTAAATGAAGATATTCTGATATCAGATAAACAGAAAGTATGACTTGAGATAATTTTTCTGCAATGCATTTTCCACTGCAAAAACACTATACTTCTCAAGCAACATTATTTTCTTTTAAAATGTTATTTTGAAATTAGAAATCAGACTCAAAAAGTGCAAAGATGATTGATTTCAAAGTTTCACTTGTTTACAAAACTATCTATTATCATACAAAATTTTATCAAAATCAAGTAAAAATTACATGTTCTCAAAATGAATTCTTCAGGAATTCCTCAGCTGACCATTTTTTCCAGTACTGTTACCATGGTAGGATGTGATCATCTCTACCATGTCTCCAAGACAATGAAAAGAGAACAGTTTCAGCACAGAGCACATTAAAGAAACAGCCTGATTTCATTTCTCTGAACTGCCTATGTGAGGAACCAATTGCCACCTTCCCCAGAAAAAAAATCAACATTAAAAAAATTTCCTAGGTTATGCCTCATTACCCACCACTGCATTCAAAATCCAAAAAAGACAAAAAGGGAGACTCCAGCAGTGCTGTCCTGGAAAACTGGTTTTTTTCCCTAAGAGTATACTTTTAATGGCAGGTCATTAAGAATTTGGAAAAGCAAATTGACTCCCTTTATCAGATTAGCCTTACGAGGAAAGAAAAGCCCCAAATACTATACAATTCAGCCATATCTATTTCCTACTCCCACCATTCTACTTTTGGTGATGTCTGTAGCACAGCACAAATGATAAGAAAGGGCCAGTTTCAGTCACTAACAGTGTTCTTCTGGTGAAACATTTAGTTGTAACTAAGCATTCAGGGCCTTGTTTGGTAAAGCATTTCCTTTCATCTCATCAGAAAGTGCTTAACCCATTCACCAAGGAAAGCACCATAAAGGTTTCTACTCAATTTGGCTACAAATCACATCTGTCACACACAGACATACAATATAATAATCCACCCCCACTTCATAGGAAACTTTCCCATAGAACAAGCAAACTTCATGAAAACAAAGACTGTCAATGACAGAACACAGTTCACACTTTTACTGGAAAAATAATGTTAATTAATAGTGATCGAAATATTTTTTAATATCCTGTTTTCTTTTTGTACTGGTTTTGGCTGGGATAATTTTCTTCAGAGTTGCAAGGAGGGGGGCAGGTTTTAATTTTGTGCTGGCAAGAGTTGATAACACACCGTTGTTTTCATTATTGCTGAGTAGTGCTTGCACTGGGTCAAGACCTTTTCCTGTTCCTCATCCCATCCCACCAGGGAGAAGACTGGGGGTGCACAAGAAGCTGGGAGGAGACAAGCCAGAATACCTGAGCCCAGCTGACCACAGGGATATTCCATCCCACAGCACAATACAAAGAACTGGGGAAAGAAGGAGGCAGGGGAAGGGAGGACATTCAGAGTTTCTTCCCAAGTCACAAGCTATCCCTGCCTTCCTGGGGATGGTTGAACAATGACTGCCCATGGGAACTGATGGGTGAATCCCTTGTTTTGCTTTGCTTGCATGTGCAGCTTCTGGTTTCCCTATTAGACTGTCTCAATCTCAGCCCAGGAGTTCTTTCATTTTTTCCAATTCTCTCCCGCATTCCACCAGGAGGCAGTGAACTGCCAGCTGGGGATAAACCACAGCACTTTTACAGTTTAAATAAAACTTTCCTAATTACTTGGAAAATGTACAAATTAACTTGTAAAGTTATGAAATACACAAAGATAAAGGTAGCTGTTAGAATCAAGTCAAGCATTTCAATATTACATTTGTTCTTAAGAATTTAAAATTTCTAGAATCAACTCTTGGCTTTCTTTTCTAAAAATATGGATGGAAGAACAACTCAGGTCATTGCTTTTTTAGTTAATGAAAGAAAAATAACCTCAATTCTTTAACTTTTGTAGGCTATCCTACCATTTAATAAAAAAAGAAAAAACACAAAGCAAGAAAAATACAATAAATAATAGCAGTTCTTTTAACTATGGGTATGACAACCTGTCAGGCTGCCCTACCGGGCCTTGATGAAAAGGGTTTCATCAGGAGTTGCAGGACAATTGTCCTGCTCAGTAACAGTCTCTACTGTGCCTGAAGCAGACACAATTACCATTGTTTTAGCTGCTGAAAGAGCTTTCTCCTTCTCTGCAATGGCAGCACAGACTGCCACAATTTCATCACTTTCAAAGTCATAGTCTGGGATTGACTCTTGTACAAGCTCTTTTCCTTTTGCCAGTGCTTGCACTGACTCAGTCTTTGTGGCCTTCTGCTGTTCCTGTAGTTTTCTTGCCCAGGAAAGGTCTTCATTCCATACTTCAGGGTTCATTGGAAAGATGTGTAAGGATACCTGGAAGCTTCGGATTGCCTATAAGCAGAACAGGGAAGAAACAAAGATGGGAGACTTTAAAGCCCATCTTTCTCATAAAAATTCACAACAACAAAAAAATTACGTATATAATTTAAGCAAAGCTCAAAGCCATTTAATTCCCGTCTTTATTGGAGCAATCCTCCCTTGTCTTGGTTCAATAGAAGCCTCACCCCCAAACAATTGTGTCTGAAAAGGCAAAAATGCATCAATAAATTTGGTACCTGGCAACAAAGGCACAAATAACGAGTTCATCCATGAAAAACAATATTGTAATTAAAAAGGTAAAAGGAAAAACAATTTTTTTGATTGTTCCCTATTCTACTTCTCTCTCATCATCAGATGTAGGTAAAGGCAAAAGCAGACAAATATGGTTTAAAAAAATAGAGAAAAGGGATGACTGGAGTTTGAAGTATAACTGATTTTGCTGCCTTTAAATTAGAATGCAGTGGTTTCATATTCAGACCTAACACTACACTATTAATACTAGCCACATGGCAAACAGTTTCTGTAACAGGTATGTGTTTAAAAAACACATAAGTAAATGCTCAGAAGAAGCCAAATAAACTCCAAGCTTCAAGAGCTGCTCTAAAAAGAACTTCCAAAATCTTATAAACAATGTAATAGTAGTAGAAGTAAGTGTAGTTAGTAATGCTTCTTTCTTTCAGTTCAACTGGGAAAGTACTCACAAACACAAAGCCTCAACAGAGAAGTTTTGCAGTTAAAAACAAAGAAATATGACCATCTAAAGTAAGAAGAGGTCGCTACAATACTAGAAAAAAGCTACACCAAGAATTACAACTGTATTGTCTTTTAGTTATATTAACAGTGGTCACAGCTGAACCTACCTCCTCAAATTTAGGTACGTGTACACAAAAGCATGAGTGTATTTCACATTTATATGCAGTTATGAAAATGTGTCACCTCAGTGACCAAATTCTTTTATGACACGTACAGAAGCCCTCCTGTAAGATGGGAAAAATGTGATGATATGGATTGGGATGATATTTGGGAAGAGTTCTGGTAACTTGAATATTGAAGCTTTAAAGACATCATTGGAAATCACAGTATTATATATTTATATAATCTGTTGTAGTTTATAAATACTTGAAGCATGCCAAATAATTTGGAAAATCACAACTTTTCTTCTGCACTGACAGAAACTCATAGTTCATCCTTCTGATGGCATGTCCACCCATATGGACACTATATGATGGGAACTCAGAAGAAAAAGATACAAAATCAGATTTAAGAAATGCTGCCTATGCTATCAGTATTACTGCCGTTTTAGGAGGCAGCCTTTCAATTCCAGATGGGGAAAAAGAAAGCTTGATTATTGGTCCACAGCCAGTTCTGAAGTGTAGGAGCATGTTCAGCTTGAAACGGAAGAACTGAAGTTTAGTTGTTGTAAAACAGTGTCACTTTATTCAACTATGCTAGCTTTTAATTTTCAGGGGCATGCGAACAACAAGTAAACACCAAATGCTCTTTTTTTTATTTCAGTTGAAAACAAAATATAAACAACCACCATCTGCTTTCAGGCTTTCCATGAAAGAAGTCCCCTAATTAAAACCTGTCTATATAGTTATGTTCATACACAATAAATAACATTTGGTAAGCATGAAAGCTGCTTTGATGATTCACACAATACAGCATAAAAAGATCATCTTAGTAAATTTATTAGAAAAGAGTTTTTGTGCTTGACATTTTTATAAATAAATAACAAAATATTAAAGTAATTTTTTTAAGTGCTGCAAAAGATCAGAGGGATTAATTTTAAAGCAGTAATGTAAAACTGAAAAATACACACTTGTCATCCATTTAAAATTTTATGTTGCCACTGGAACAGCACCCAAAGCCACTAATTTCTACTAAGACAGAAGAAAAGAACAGTGATACTTTTAATGCTTCCCCTTATGGAGATGTAAATCTCCTTCTCCAATTGCCTGTCACATTATATGAAAACACAATGACACTACATAAAAGCGGTATTTCTAGCCTCATTTTAAAGAGGAGCTGTGATTTTAGAGATCCTGCATGTAAGGACTACAGGACTTAAAATCATGCAGTTATGTATCTGCTTTTGCTTCTGCAGGGAAATGCAATGAAAAACCTTCTGCAAGACCTTCTTCCTTGTGGAATTACAGTACATGAAAAGTCTGTATTTTTGAAGTATCTTACATTTTGTCTCACTAAATAGCATAGCTATTGCTAAAAAAGTAGCAAACAATCTTACATTTGTCCCATGAGCAGAGTCTCCTCTGCTGATCTGCATAGCCTTCAAGTGTGAAGGGCAATTCTGATCAGACTACGCTTTTTATACAGATTTCTGTGACACATGCACTTAGTAACTGCCACTATACCCCCAAAAACCATAATAAAAACCATAAAACCATAAAAACCAAATACCAGAAACCCCCCCAAAAAGCCAGGTGAGAATTTTAAGAGGTATCTGCTACCAAAGTTCATATTAGGCCTTAATGTTACATTTGGCAGACTTTCTGACCTGTTTCAAAGGATGTTTATCAGTGAAGTAACTAATAATTTTCTTTGTTAAATGCTCTTCTATGCAGAAATTTTCTTGTGTTCTTTTACAGCACTCAGGACAGCCCTTGGGGGAACTGATACATGAAAAGCTGGACAAGCCATGGCACTCACAGCCCAGAGAGCCAAACGTGTCCTGGGCTGCATCCAGAGCCCCGTGGGCAGCAGGGCAGGGAGGGGATTCTGCCCCTCTGCTCTGCTCTGCTGAGACCCACCTGGAGCACTGCATCCAGAGCTGGGGTCCCTGCATAAAAAGGACATGGAACTGTTGGAGTGAGTCCAGAGAAGGCAACAAAGAGGATCAGGGGGCTGGAGCATAACTCCTGCGAGGACAGTCTGGGAACAGTGGGGCTGTCCAGCCTACAGAGAGAAGGGTTCAGTAACCCCCTACAGCAGCCTCTCAGTATCAGCAAGGGACCCACATAAGAGCTGGACAAGGACTTTTACAAGGCCATGAAGTGACAGAACAAGGGATAGTGACTTTAAACTGAAAAAGGGTAGATTCAGGCTAGATGTAAGGAAGATATTGTTTACAATGAGGTTATTGAGAGACTGTAACACATTGCCCAGAGAGACGGGTAATGCTTATTCCTGAAACATTTAAGGCCAGGTTGGACAGGGCTCTGAGCAACCTGGTCTAGTTGAAGATGTCCTGGCTGATTGCAGAGGGTTGGACAAGAGTACCTTTACAGGTTCCTTCCAAACCAAAGCTTTCTATGGTTCTATGACAATATATTACTGGAATCTGAGTCTTATTTTTGTACAACTCACTATGAACATAAGTAATTTTTACAGAAGCATTTATCACATTAATGTATGAAATAGGAAAATAATACATTTTAGTATATTTAAAGACTCCTTATGACATTTCTCTCCTTCAAACAAGGAAAAAAATTCCCATCCTTTCAAGTATTTTCACTGTAGTTTAATTGTTCCTATGGTATAACCTCAATGGCAATTTTTATTTTTTTTTCTTTTTACTTTTTCTTTTTTTCTTTTTACTTTAACATCTTGAACTTTTCTGTGTAATTTTCTGTTCAGATTACTTCTACTTTTCAAGAAAAAAATTCTCTCTGGAAATTTCATCAAAAGTAATTCTGATACCTTACAAAATGAGGTGAACACAATATTTTGCACTTCTTATATTTCCAAAATTATTCAAAGGTTCTGTTGCTCTCATGTTCTGGAGAAAGTACTTGAAATATAGTAATTTTCGAGATCTGAAAGACTGTTTCTGCCTTATGTTTATTGGGATTTGGTTAAGTTACAAATGCATAAAGGTCTTTGTTTACATTTGGTAGATGTGTGTGAGGTATCCTCACTTCCACACTTTCCTTCTCTTTTGAAGAAGTTTGTGTCCTCCTTATCCTCCTCTTGTACTTTCCTTTACTTCAGTGACAGATTTCACAGATGTCATTTTGCACCAATTCCTTTCTTCACAGCCCTCCTTCCTAACATTTTGTGCCCTCACACCTCAGTGCACACCCCTGCATGGCTGCTGCCTGTCAGACCTCTTACACTCTGCTCTACCAGATGCAAGGATATGAGCAAGGATAACTAAAAAACAATAACCACAAAAATCAATCCCATCCTAGAAATTGACATAGTCAGCCTAAGAAAATAAAGCTTAAGTGTTGTCAGTACTTTCACCTTGAGAATCAGGAAAATCCAAAACATTTACTTCTTTATTACCGACTTATACTGCTAAAATTATTACAGGAATTTTAAAACAATGGTCAAATAAACTTTCTCCAACATCCCAGTTTGTCTTATCCTGTGCATCTGATTTAGCTAAAGCTTTCAACTACAAGGTCTTGATGTTGAGAAATGCACTCCTCAAAAGTCCTGAGCACCTGACAAAGGTAAATAACAGGAGACGTCAGCTAAATCAGCCACAAGCAATTGCAAAACCTGAGTACCCCTGGCAGAAATATATCTGAAAAGGGTATTTAAACTTTTGGAGATTTTCTTGCCCTTTAGCTTTCTTGACAGAAAATAAAAATCACCTGTCTTTTTGTGCATTAAAAGTCATGAAAATATATTTATGATTTCCAGCAGTGGTCAAAAAGGCAAAAAAGGATACCTCTGTTGTACATGGACACGGCAGGACTAACACAGAACCTTCCTGGGAAAGCTTATACTACTGGCTATTACTTCAATAACTCATTGGACTGATTAAAACTGCTGAAAATAATTTAACAGAACTCCAATTTAAATGAAAAAGCATGATACTTTCTCTCTTAACTTAGCATTTCCCAAATACTTTGACTTTTCAGTCAACCACCAATTTCCTTTTTATTACCAAAATATGCTTCTAAATGCTAACATCTGTAAAATGTTAAAATTTATCTCAAATTCAGATTAGTTATGTTAATTAGCTGCCTTCCAATAATCACAGACATTTCTCTCTTTGGGAGTAAAAAAATCCCACCATTATCTAAAAGACCTAAAACTATTTCTTTCAAGAGAGACGAAAGGAAAGGGCTGATCTGAGGATTCATATTGTCAAGGCATGATTCTTTTGACAAAGTGTCGTGTCATACTTAGGGACTGCTAAAGCACTAACTACTTAGCAGGAATAGCAGAAACCACATCCTTCAAAACATCAAGCAAAACCCATGTACAACTGGTGCGTATTTACACATCTACCCTCTCAACCTGGTGATCATCAGTATTCCAGATTTGACAGGGACCCAGAATGGGGTAAAGCTGAAGTCACAGAACCACAGAATGGCCACAGTTGGCCAGGACTTTCTGAGATCACCTGTGCCAAGCCCCTGCTCAAGCAGGGCCACCTGAACTGACTGCCCATGACCGTGTTCATGTCACAGGGCTGATGAACTTCTCCACGGTGGGAGACTCGGTGCTTTCATTCAGTCCTTGATCTTCTTGTGATTAGTTTTGGGTTTTTGTTTTAATACTGTTTTTGTTTTGGGGTTTTTTTTCCTTGATTAATCACAGCACGGGGCTCACCCTGACTCATGGGAGGAACTGTTCTAATGAAGCTACTAGAGTGAAATTGTTAAGTAGTTAAGATGTCATCAGCAGTAAAGGAAACGTAATTTGTAAAACCAAGTATTTGAAATGGAATGAGAGAAATATTGCAAGCCTGACTATATTTCTACAGTTACTACATTCACATTCCAGGTTTATTCAGGTGTGTTCTGCACATTGATTTGTAGAATTTAAGGAATTTCTTCCTTGACAGAGATAAAGTCCTCCTTGCTCACATTTAAGTATTACTGTTGAATTGAAAAAAAACAACTTTCATAAAAGGTAAATTAAAAGAGACTAATTTACCTCATTCTTTTTGTCCCAAGTTTGACAAAAATTAAATCCAAGCAAATCTTTCCTTCTTTTACTATTACACAGCTCATAATATACAATAGATTTGTTTGGAAGCAACATTTTAGACCTGGGAAACTTCAAATTAAAATACAGTAAATTGTTTTTTTTTCCTAAGAAAAAACGCATCATTCATTGTAAAGTAATAAAAGTACTCAGACCATTTGGCAGGATGTGGGTAATGAAGACAGATGTTGGTGGGGGGAGAAATAAAGCAGAGAAACAGAAGAAGCAGTTTTTGAGAAGAGTATCTCAAAAATCTCAAAAAAAAATTACTAAAAGCCTTGCTATTTATGCTTTATTAACTTTTCTTTGCACAAAATATGATACAGGGAAAAATACGGAAAATCATGCCAATGAAAGACTAGTGGAAAAGGATAAACCACTTGGTCAAGAAGACTCAGTACGTCCAATAACTATGAACCCATTTCTTATTTTAAAACTCCTTCAATCTTAACCTCTTAAGATTCCTTAGAAATCACTTGGTTCAAAAACAGACAATGAAGATTATTTGCATTTTAGAACAAATCCCCAAGTTCTCTGTATGTGAAAATATTTTTATCAGAAGGCAGCTAGACCTACAGTCAGAAAGGCAGTGAAGTATGAACACACAGTACCAAAGCACTGGAGACACCACGAGGAGCTTCCACACCTCAGGCTCCCTGTTCAAAGGCAATCAAAAACACTAACAGGGCAAACTACCTGTGATAACCCCTCCTCCCTCCCTCTCCACCACAGTAAGGTCAATTTAACAATTACAGGAGTACCTAGAGCAGTGTTTCAGATGAATGAAGTGCTTTGATGCAAATCTCTGATTGTTCCCAATTAAAATGCTTTGCATCACCGACTAGTCTCAGATACATAAATTAGATCCCTTTCTGATTAAGCTCAACAAGGTACACTCTAAAGAGAGCACCTGAAGTGCTACTCTAAAATAAAAAAAAAATTAATATAATATGAACACTAGGTCTCCAGTACTCAAGGTACCCAGTCCCACTGGTGTTTCATGATTTGTCAATGTAGAAAAACCTTATAGGATCTGGTGAATCAACCTGCTGAGTGTAACTAGTACAGGTATATTACTATTTATAACATTTATTACAGCAACTGCAGCATTTTTTACAGAATAAACAGCATCAGTTACTTAGGATCCTTGAAGGAAATAAAACTCTAATTTTCCTGAGACTAGTGGATTTAAAATTCTCAGGCATAATTTACAGTGACAGTTTCATACACTTCAAAGGAAAAGATCCAGACAGACCAGACCATCTACCCTTACCTTCTACACCACAAAAGCCATGGAATGTCACCATTGCTGAAATGCAGATATGAATAGATTTATATGAGCTATTTCATAATATGGTAGTGCACCAACAAAGGGGGCACACTGCACATCTGCAACACACAGCTTCTGTCTTAGGTTTTATCTAACAGGACTGGAACACCTCCCCTGTGAAAACGGGCTGAGAAGGTTGGGGCTGTTCAGCCTGGAGAAGAGAAGGTTGTGTGGAGACCTCATGGCAACCTGCCAGTATCTGAAGGGGAACTACAGGGAAGCTGGAGAGGGACTCTTTGTCAGGGACTGTAGTGACAGGACAAGGAGTAATGGGTACAAAGTAAAATGGGGGAAAATTAGGTATTAGGAAGATATTCCTTACTGTGAAAGTGCTGAGACTCTGGAATTGGTTACCCAGAGAAGGATACCCCATCTCTGGGAATGTTCAAGGCCAGGATGGGGCTTTGAGCAACCTGGTGTAGCAGAAGGTGTCCCTGCCCATTGCACAGTGGGGCTGGAATTAGATATCTTTAAGATTCCCTCCAATCCAAACCATTCTATGACTTTAGGTGATTCACATTGTTTGTATTTTTTTTTGGTTGGTTTGGGGTTTTTAACATTGCTCCTTACTACATTTTAAAAATTAGTTTTGCATGAATTGTTAACCTCCACCAAAAAAAACCCTATCTTTTTTTAATTCTTGAAAAATTTGAGACCAAACATTGTAACTTTGCAAAAACACTCTAAACTACCAATAAAATTATTTATCAATGTGTATCAAAACAGCACACAGACACTTCTATTCAAAATACAACCAGTATCTTTTTTTCATCTAAGAGGTCATGATGCATTGTTTTTCTAATGGAGCTCTGTGAATGTCTCTGAATTTGAGAGTTCACCTGTTGTGTTTTCACAGAAAGTAGCAGAAAACTATTATACTCCAGGAAAAAAAATGCATTTCAGCTACTGCAGAGTAGCTCTTTGCTCTCTCATTAAATGAAGAAGCAACTTCAGCCACCATTTGAGGTCAGGGAGTCAGAGGAAAGCAGGAATGAGTACATGTTATTTGCTGCATAAGCAGGACACATGGAAAACAAGACATTAGAATGTTATCAATAGGCATGAATAAAAACTGAATAATCAGCTGATCCCTGGACTTCACACCACCTTCATCTTTAAACTATGGTGAGCTGCACTGTAGCAGTACAGCACACAGAATGTAGTATGTGCAATTATGGCAGTATAATTGTTCTACTACATAAAGCCACCACATAAATATAGTATATGACACAAAAGACTTGGAGCTAGATAAGTCTTCCACAAGTCCAGCAACAAAACCACACAGGAAGTGTTTGTGAAACACAATAAAGCAGAAGGAACACCAGAGATAAATAATAACAATCTTTTTCCTTGTCTGTGTACAAGTTACCATAAGGATATACAGCAATCTTGGCATTTCTGTACTTTCCTTCTTACACACAATTAATTCTGTTATCCTACCAGTGCTATCTCTCCTAATCCAAGCTGGGCACGTCCCAAAGTCTGCCAGGCATCCCAGGAACGTGGGTTTCTCTGGACAGCCATTTCTGCTGCATGCACTGCTGGGAACATTTCATGTAAAGACATCAGGACCTGTATCAGAAATAGAAAAAGAAGAGGAAGAAAAATAAGCAAAACTGAAAATAAATTCAAGTTTTCTGGGATTACCCAGGCAACAACCACTGTTTCAACAACTAAGGACTGGATTCATCTTACCTAGCTTTATTTAGTTAAAAGTTAGTTGTCTGACCTCAGATAATCACCCAGACTCATTCCAATCCCCACAGAGAGAAACAGGCATGCTAGAGGATGATTCACCCAAACTATTTAAGCAACCCTATTAGAAGTAGATTAACTGCTTCTGAAGGTGTCTCTCCTTGTCAACAAACCCTACAGCTATAGAAACATAACAGAATACTCAGGAGGACAAACACATGGAGAACTGAACATAGTAAATGTGCAAGTACTGTTGAAAAACTCCTGGACTGTATTTATTTTTTTTAATAGAGAACTGGAATCTACCATAAACAGTGCGGTACACATGATACAATTATAGAAACAATCCCGGTAACACAGCATGGAAACAGACCTTAACAATGACTCTTGTATTTAGAGAACAAGCATTCTGCAGAGCCTAACTTAGACATGACATCACCTACATAAAGTAAGAAAAAAAGTGGTTTCTGAATGTGAAAATCTCTGTTGCTCAGCAGTTACCACAGGATTATTCTTCTTGCATCAAATCTCCACAACTAAGGCAATAAATCACAGTTAGCAATGCACAACGTGGCTCAAAGCTTGCCTTATGTTTCCAATACCACCATGAGATTGGCACATCACCTGAAGACCTGCATCACTCTGAGATCATGATTTCAGACACCCACATGCTATGGTGATAGATACCAGTGTAAGAAACAAACGACAACTGCATTCCTGCAGTATGATGAGAACATCAACCACAAGGGTTAGACTCATGTGTGGGAAACCACTTTCATCCTAACTGACCGCAACTATGATGAATAATATTAGAACACATTAGGACTATTGCTGAAGTTTGAAACAGATTTATTTAACCTTACTGTTCTATGATATATTATATAGATAAATATGAGTATGGAGTAGAGGAGGAGTCAAATGCAATAATCTTGAGTATTTACTCTAATTAACAGCATAGAGGTGAGCAGCACATTAAAAAGAAGAGGAGGAGGGTAAGGAGAAAGCAAAGATTTACTATAGGAAGAAACCCTGGACTGAAAAAATCAAGAAACAAAGTTTCTGAATAACTCTTTGGATTGATACTTCTGCTGTTCTAGTATGACTAGATTTCTCAAAAGACTAGTCTTATGGCTTCACTTTAATTCCATTCAATGGACTGTACCTTAGAATTCAGCAGTACATAATAATCTTTAGAAAAACCATCTACAGCAGTATATCATCTTCCCCCTTTTTCGTGTTCAACAGTTCTCAATGACTACACCTGAAAAACCACACTGAAAAAGGAATAAAAAACACTCCTAGCACAAAGATTTCCTGTGCACAGATTTGACAAGTGGTGTTCAGTCATTTTTGGGTAGGGCCACACGGGCCAGAGAAAGCCAAACAGGAACCACATGTGCTGTAGCCTCTCTTGTCACACAGCGTGCCTGTCACATGTTCCATGTGCAGCCACGTCAAGTACGTGTGTATATATATATATATATACACGTACACACACTCATTACATATATATATAGTGTACATATAAAGTGATGTATGTATATATAGTGATATAAATGTATAGTGGTAATACTCTATTAGAAAACATTCTTAAAACTAATCCAAAAATTAGGAAAAAAAATTTACAAAGCAGAAAAAACATCTCAAGACTCTCACCCCACACAAACACACAAATATATATATGTGTGTTAAAAGTGACTGGAGGGAAAAGTCTTATAGAGATGTTCAGTAAGTGGATTTTCAGGACTTGTTTCATTCAAAGAGATTTATCCTTGTTACATGCTTTAAAACAAAAAATATCCATGTCCTATAATAACTTAGTTTAACAGATCTAGCTTTAAATTTTAGAAAAAGTCATACAGGAGAGATTAGAAGAATTAAAAGAAATCAGTGGCAAAAAACCAATTGAACATAGCAATTCTCATAAGGAGACTGACCAAGTATTAGAAATCCAGGCAGCAGAGTGACCCATCCTGTTCTGCCCACAATATTTTGGAAGTGTTATGAATCTGAGTAAGTTCTGGTTTTAAATGAGCTCAGTGGATTGAGGCTGAATCACTATATATAGATACATGCCATGTCCAGTGCAACTAACCCAATTCCTTTTTCCATCCAGTAAATCATTTCAAAATACAGATGAATAAAATTCATCCTACCCGTAAGTAGTTTACATTTATCCATGCCCTAAAGCAATTACCACTGCACCACACAGAAATGTTAATTTGCAATTTAGATTTCTGGAGTTCACACTAATATTTTGAAACTTTACTCTACACACTACACATCCCGATTTCAGAAAAACAAATTAAAAATAACTGACACTTATTAGGTGATTTGCTATTATCTAAACTTGGGATTCTAAGTCTGGTCATGTCTTAGAAACCTTGTAATTTCTTAAGCAAGAAGACAGATGAGTAGAAATTGATATTATTTCTTCACTGAGTTCAACAATAAGAAAACCTTTAGAAGAGGGGAAGTGGAATGATTTGAAGTGATGGGTTTCATACATAAAAACAAAGAAGAGTCATATCTGAAATCCTGGTCCTGTTCAGTGAATGCAAATTTACGACACAGCATTGTAGGAAACTTAGATTCTCATACATCCAAAAACATCCAAAAAATTATTAAAAGGAACTTGATCTGATGATTTACATTTGAATTTATTTGTTTCTAAAAATACATATAAAAAAACCTGTATTGTCTACTTTAAAAATTCTGTCATAGCTGCATGGTTATCTGAGATCTGAGGTGCAAGTGTCACGAGACAAGCAACACAAACCAGGTGACTTCTCAGGAGTGGTACTGAACAGCAGCAAGTCTGGCTCCCATGAGAGTTTTGTTACGTAACAAGTATCAAGTCCTTTGATACCCTTCTTCATTCAACAATGTCCCACATGGTCCAGTAATCAAATGTTAAGATAAAAAAATCAAAGAGTATGTCAAAGTCTGTTCCTCCATCTTTGTAATTCAAAGCTTTAACAAACTAATCCAGTCAATATTTAAGAAATTCAGCCCACAATTAATTTCAAGCAGTCTTAGTAGGTGCATTAATAGAAGCAGATTTTTACATTCTTTTGAATATACTAATAATAATACTTATCTAACATCAGAATCAAGATTAGTTTGCTGTTGCTGGGTCTTTTTAAAAGATTTTTGGTTTTCAACAAAAATGCAGAAATGAACTTCCATAAACATTTACTTTCCAGTCATTGTTCTTGCAATGAGGAAGCAGCTGAGGCTGGTTATGAAGTATCAAGCATGCATACTGACAGATCTTGCATGCAAAGAAAAGTGCACCCCTAACCTCTCAAAAACCATAAAAATCTGTTTTTAAATGGATTAAAGAGTAGCTGAGAGCAACGGGAAAAATATCATCAAATTTTATGGTTTTTTGAAGCAATTGAGAAATTCCTCAGCTCCCGTGCCATGTGATTTTCTGGAAATACACTTATTTCAAGTATCTTTGACAACTAGGAACTTTAAACACTATTTCTGCTCTTCAGAAGTACTGAAAGACATTGGTCCTACATCTATTAAAATAGAGATCTTTGAGAACTTACCATAAACATTTACAGATTCCTACAATGCCATTATCATATTTATCTGAGCTGCATATTAAACAATGCGGTATTGAGAATGTTACATTTTCTGTTGAGAAAGGAAATACTAAAGAATTGAGAAGCTCATGTGTAACCCAACATAAGGTTATCCTAATAAATGTAAGGATATATGACAGATACTCAAGCCTGTGCAAAAAAACCCACTTCGTCCTCCAGTGTTAATTCTCAGAGTTACTTCACAAATCAAGACATTTTCGAACTGACAGAAAATTAATACAGACCACAAAGAATCTTTGCATATTGCACAGTCATTTCTGACATCAATCTCCTCTAGTATGTGACACATATACCAAGACATGGGGATTTTTTATAGACAGACCCAGTGCTGGTCAAGACCTTGCTGAAGTTGGTGTACAGTTCTTCCAAAGCATTTTCACAGAGCTCCACAGTAATAGCTGCAGTATTTGTGACTGGAATAATACAGTCAGCTCTAAGACAGTATCCTTTAAATATTGGGAACAAAATTTTTTTGAATGAATTATGTATTCCTATTTCAGCAAAAGTGGATTTCTACAGCTCACATCAGTGCTGTTAGAAGAACAAAGGTATCAAATTACCCATTCTACTAAACAGCTTCCAGTAAGCATAAGTCATACTGCAAAAAAACATCTGCAATAATTATTTGCATGTATGAAAGAGACATTACCAATTGAAACATTACAGGTTTTAGTAAAAACATTCTAGGAATAGTTTTATAAATTAATATCTTGTACACAAGCCTTTCTTGGGTTCTCAGTCACAAGTGTAACAAGTGGTACGTAATATAAGAAAGTGAAATCAAAAAGAAATGGTGCAATTGCCATGAACTTCTCTCTTTTTCCGGAAAGAAAGCAAAGGGATGGTGGAAGCAGAGGCCTGGGCTACTTTGTTTTTCTCAGCTTTCATTACTCTTGAATTGCTGCATTAGTCAAGGACAGCTAATTCACAAGATGAATCAAGAGTCACACAGCTGTTTTGCAGTTCCTTTTTGTCAGCAGAAAAGCTGTGTGTCTCTAGCTCACCTTTTCTATTTTGCTGAAATACAGGGACTGGGAAGCCAAGTAATCAACAACCCCTCAGTACTAGGTATTGCATCTGGAGCACAGATTGAAGCACGTAGCAGGCACCTCTTTGAATAATTCATTGCATCATAGCTCAGATACAGGTAGGCTTCCACACTTCATAGTTCTGCTATTTTCAGTGTGAAAATACTTAATTTTGGTATCATTTCAAGTAAATAAAATGCTTTTGGGGACCTATCTTAAATTCTTGCATTCACATAAGACCATAACAAAGACAAGGGAGCTGTTCACTAATTTGTCCCGCTGAGCAGAACTCTCCTAAAATTTTTAACAGCTTTCTGTTTTATTCAAAACAGAGTTAAATCTTTAAATTATGGTAATAAAATTTATCAATACCATCTTCACATCTTATCAGATTTTCTTTACTAGTGAAGTCAAAAATTAAACGTATAAGGGAACTGCTACATAAGTTAACACCCTTTACAGCAATCTGGAGTGCTACTAATTAAAGCAGAATCCTGTGTCTTCCAATAACGTATAATCAGGATTTGAAATTCCTTAATACAAAGCTCTGCAGATGTTAGAAATGTACATAGAAGCAGAAAGCATTGAAACAAATTTGTTGAAGAAAAATCTTTCAAGCACTTCTAAACACAGAGATGTCCCAGAGCCAAAGCTTGCTGAAGAGCCTGGGAAAAGGATCAGGAGAGTAGTATTGCTACATGCTCGTGCCATTTGTGCAACTCTTTCCCAGTCACTGCACTAGGCTAAACATTTACACTAACACTTATGGAAAGACAACATACTTCTCCCGAAACAGTTTAAAAGAAAAACCTTTAAGCTATAAAGTACTTCTCAAACCAAATGCATAACCCAATATGATCTAAACCTTCTGCAGCCATATAAAACAGAAGCATCCTTCAGTATTACCATACTGAAATTATGATTATTCTGTTAAATCTTTTGCAGAATCAAACTCTCTTCATTTCACCAGACAAGACGAATGTGAGGAGCAAATGTGGTTAACGGCCATTAGAAAAAGCAGCCATCACACCTTGTAAAAGAACCAGCATTGGTTCTTGGGGTTTGTTGAGGTTTGGGTTGTTTTGGCTTCTTTTTTGGGGAAGTGGGGGTGTTAGGGTCTTGACTGGGGTTTTTACACAATAAAAGAATTAGAGTAACAACGAAAGATTTTAGAACTAAACAGTATAGCAGGCTTCCTAAAAGTTATATAATACATTCACCAATTTTATTTTTTTTTCTTTTCTTCTCCAAACAATGTATTTTTTCTGGACAGCTTGCTGAGACTGAATAGGCACAGTTCTATGGGGAATGTTGAGATGCATCCTAGAATCCAGAGGGCTCTTATGGGAGCCACAAGAAAGTTGGAGTGGGACTTTTTACAAGGGCATGTAGTGATAGGACAAGGAACAGCTTCAAACTGAAAGAGGACAGGTTTAGATTAGATATTATGAAGTTTTTACCTGACTGATGTAACACATAAATACAAAAACAGATTGAAGCAAATAATTTGCATACAGTACCCATGTTTAATATTGTCTGTGGGTTGTATTAAGCCCAGTCTTTAGAAAGAGCAGGCAGATTTTTAATGGTCAGATTCACTAATCTATCACACTAAGGCTCTCCTTGATCCCTCCAATATAATTTTAAGCATTTCCATTTTTTACTCCCCAATGCATTATTTCAATTTCTGTTAAAAGACACCCTCTGGTTGGTAAAAATGAAATACCTAAATGTGCTGTAGTTCCTTCACGCAACAACTAAACAATGTTGTCCAAGTATCTGTTCACAAACACAACGTTTTCTAATTTCTAAACTGGCAAAGAACTGTCACGCTTTACCTGTGATTTCATCTCATAAAGCATAGCATCCTCTGGAGTTAACTGAAGTGCTTCATCCCACTTGACAAGAGCCTCTCTGTACCTGTAGTTAAAACAATATTACAGTGTCAACATATTTAAAGGGACTGGATATTTCTTTTTATATCCTGACATTGTCCTAAATAAAGTGCCATGGCGTATGATTAGTATTAATTATTTTTCTAATTACTTCCCCCTAAGAGATTTTGAACTGTTTTCAGGAACTGGGTATTTTTTTGTTCTGATCAAATGGATGCTAAGTACTACTATAGAACTGACCTCAAGTGAATTTACGAGGCAACATTGGAAACCTGAGGCAAAGTTTAATGACTTAAAACTAGAAATCTTGAACTGAGTCCAATTTCCCTCATTGTCAAAATAATCCTTAGCCAGGCATAAAGAAATAAACTGTCAACTCAACATGCCATGATACAGTCAAAATTAAAAATTTCTTTTCATTCTAAAAAGCCTTCATTTCTGTACAGTAAGATAATGTAAGACAATGTAAGACATATATACCAACTTTGGTATAAAAATATAAGCAGGAAGTTGAAAGTAAACAGCTATAATGAAATCACTCTTTGGAAAAGCATATGCTATGTTGCTCTTTCCTAGGAAAAAGAACAAAATAGAAGAATTGACCAAAACAAATAAAAAATAGCTTTTTGTCTTGAACAACGAGGTAAAAACTTAAAATGTGGTAAAATTTGAACCACGATGAAGAACTGTAAGAGAAGAGTGAGATGCAATTACAGATGTGCAGTCTTTCAGCAATAAAAGTGGCTTCTCATCAACATTAAGGAGTCTGTAGGGTTATCACACATTCTCTGAAACTTCAAAATCCACATTTGTAATGGAACTGTGTGGGAACACCTGAATTTATATTAATTACACTGCAAAGGTATGAAAACAGTTACTCTTGGGGGATACACATGCTTCAATTTTAATATAGTATAAGTAAAACTACTGCAATTTTCACAGACCCTTCATACAAAACTGTTTTTATCTTCCCTTACTCCCCAGTTTTCCCTCCTTTTCCTTTCCCCAGTTTTCAATTCTCTAGGTTGTATCACAGCCCCAGGTTTTCCAGAGTAGGGACATAAAGACTTCAGAAACTTCACATAAAGAATTCAGAAAATAATTTAGAACAGAAAACTGGACTGGAAAAGCAATGCAACTGAAGTCAGACTCTCATTATGATTCAGATATCAGTTTGCAAATTACACTAATGAATGTGATATTTGAGTGTAAAGCAATGTATGTTTCAACAAATTTTTACTTCCTCGAAGTTTAGGGACCAGCTGCACATTTTTCATCTCAGTTCACACCCCGTGGGCAGGTGTTCACCCTAAGAAAACATCGTATTTTCTACATGCCTCAATATAAGTTTTATGCTGCTATTTACTTAGTGGGGACTACTTTTAGAGAAGACTATAGTTTAGTTTGAGACCTAGCATAGACCTTGCAAATAAAGCATACATGAATAAGGATCCGCAGCTCAGTTAGGTGGTGTCCTGGCCATGTAGAAAGGTGCAATAGTGTGAGTACAGCAAAAAAAATTCAGTAAAAAAAAGTTTTGGAGAACAGAGCAATACAGTAATAACATCAGTAGCCAGAAAGAAAGGAACAGCACTGGCACTCTGCAAGTAAAAAGATGTTGAAGTAAAAACAAAAGTAAAAACAAGTAAAAATAAGTTGCATTTCAGGAACCTTCACTGCTCAACGCACCAATCTGAATGTGATAAAACTCCTAGCAAGAACCAGCTACCTCTGAAGGAAGGATCAAATATAAGCTAATATCCCCCAAATTCTACTGGGTTTTGCTGATGGTTTGTCAACAGTCTACCAACAGAATAAAGATGGACAAGGGAGAAAAAGTTGTACATTCACAGAAACACTATGTGTGTTCTGTGTGTGAACAGTAAATTATGTAACTCTGTCTGCGAGAGTATTATGTCTGCATAATATTATGTCTACATAATACTCTGTCATGACTCAAGAGAAGGATGCTAAAATTCTGCAACAGAATGCCAGAATCACTTCCCAGACTAAGAACACAACAGTAGAGAGCTGGTGAAGGAAAAGTTCCACTTAGTCAGAAGACCGACTGCTGACAACCAGCTAACAGTCTGCAGATACCCACAGGCCCGTGAAACAGTCATCTTTTCAGTGCACTTATTTACTTTAGAGGAAGGTCTTATAAAACTTGGCTGTTCTTTTAAGTAATCAGAGAAAAAGATGCTTCTATTGCTGCTCCAGGAGAAACCAAGGATACTGTCCTTACTAAGCAAAAATGAACCATGTTGCTTGCTCTAGAAATGCAAATTTAGGAAAAATTATTTATAAAAAGGTAGTCCATTAATCAAAGAATGTTCTATTACATTCTTCTTAAGGAAAAGGTTATATAAAAGATTATATTAAATATCAAACACCATACTGAAAAAGGTTCTTAGATAAGATTATAAAGTCAGTGTTCAAAAAAATCCTTTATGAAAACCATAAACCTTAGCAGAAATAAGAAGGGAATTAACATAGGGGTAGTGCTGCAAAATAATAATTTTAAAGATAGACAATTTTATTGTTTCTCAGGATGCTTTTTTTAGCTGAACTGTACAGCTTTACCACTGTCCTTTACCATGGTGAGGAGACGTAGTTTTGTAAAAGAAAGCTTTGATATAAATATGACATCTGTTTAGGGCTTGGAGCAGCTGTCATATAAGGGGAGGCTAAGAGACACAGGACTATGCAGCCTGGAGAAGGGAAGGCTCAAAGGAATCTTACCAAGGTGCAAAATTACCCAATTTGGAAGTGGGGCAGGGAATTCAGAAGATGGAATCAGACTCTTCTCAGTCATGCCCAGTGACAGGACAAGAAGCAACAGGCACAAACCAAAGCACAGAAAATTCTGTTTACGCATATCTCCATCACTGGAGAAAACCAAAACTCAACTTGGAAACATCCTGAGCAACTCACTGTAGTTGACCCTGCTTCAAGCAGGACCCAGGGTAGCAAAATCTCGAGTTCGCTATGATTGTATGATACTAAGATATCAGCAAAAACAGCGATAAATGATTTAAGATATTATTATCTCTTGGCTAAATGAAAACCAATTTTAAGCAAAATATAAGCTGACAAAAATTAGATCCATTACTTTTTAGATCCCTGGGATGGCTATAAAAATTTAACTATTGCAGTAGTAAAGTCACAGAATACCAATAATGGACATATCCTGTTTTTAATGGGTTATGAAAACACTATTTCCAGAAAAATTAAAACCCTTATGTGTATGTACGTTGCAAGCAAGCACCTAAACAATAGTACACAGCATTTTTAAGATAAGACTAATATTTTGAAAGATAGAATTCTATCTAAAGTAGTATATAGGAGTATACAGATACAGTATATCTACCCACAGTGATTTCATCCAAGTATTTCACTTCACTACAAAAAAAAATTACACAATTACAATCACAATTTAATTTGCATTTTCTGTTCTTTATTACAAAGCTGTAAAAAGAAATAAATTACTGATAACTGGATACATCCGGAATGGCTTCAGAACGTAAGACCTGATGGATTCAGAAATTTCTTATTTAACAGTCATGAAATCCCATAGCTCCCCTAAATGACTACAACTGCTCTCTTCAGACGTGCTCCTGACCATCTGCGAGCTGCAGAAACTTGGCACATTTTTCTACAACTTGCCAAACTTTTGAAACAAACATCTCATGCTTACACTTCACTTTTTCAACACCACTTCTGGGAAAACAGGATCTCTTCAACTCTTAAATAAAATCATTAAAACAAAATTTAAGATGAAAGTTTGCAGCTTGGTAAAAAACCTAATACTCATATTACACAGATATTGATTTCTGAATCATATACATAAAATGCTAAAAATGAGCACTACAGCTCATGCAGGATTTAGAGTCCTGTATTTTTACTCGCAGGCTTGCTAGAGGCTGATGCTTCAGGAAGAGAGTGAGACAGGACATAATCAGAGTGACAACATCTGCAACTATAATAAAAAGAGGAGATGGTATAAAATTCAGACAAAACAAGACATCTGCAGGAGAGAGGCAGAGTACAGGAGCAGAGTGTCAGGAGAAGGCATGAATAAATGTAAGTCCTAGGATTTCTTTTAGAATTGGATAGGTACTCCTACCATCAAATATTACAGGATAATGAGGAAAAACACAGACAAAGCTAAGAAAGGGACAACAAATTTTAAAAAGAATATGCCTCATTGTCAAAGATTCCTATCAGAGGAGGAACAAGAATGGTCAGTGGCCACCAGCAACACCATCTACAACAATTTTTAACCGAGTGCTGGGTGAAACTCTGAATTTGTTGGAAACCTGAGGAAAAGAACACTACTCAGTAATTATACAGACCACATAAAAAGAGAAATGAAAATTAAAGCAGAAGTTGATTACAGGAATAAACTTCTCTTTTTAAGCTGAGAGATGACACAGGGCTAGATGAGGAAACTAGGAAGGAAAGCAAGAATGAATGTAACATGTCCTTTTTGTGTTTAACAACTTCAGATTTCTCTAACACAGCTAGGTTTTCACAGTAAAGTACGTCCTCTGCTGGGGGTGAGGAGAGAGATGAACAGCACTTAGTAGAATCATTTGGAGAAGAACAGTTTTTAAATAAGCAACAAGAAGTTGTTTGCTCACACACAGAAAACTGATGTCCACAGCACATTTAGTCTGATAACAGTCACAAGATTGGTGCACCTTACTATCATGCTTCATGTGTTTAAAATGTTCTTTTCAACTTTCCAATTTTTTGTCAGACAATTCTGATAACTATAGGTGAATCATGACCACTGCAGCACAAGAGCATGGCTATTTTGTAGTAAAGTGTCAAAGGCCACTTTTGATTATGTATGTAAAGAAACATCTACTTTACTATCCACCATAACTTTCAATAAAATGTTTTAATTTAACAGTCTCAATTAGGCGTGGCTAGAGGTGGATGGCAATTATTCAATGGCACATGACAATATATGTGGGTCTTACCCCACAGTAAAGGAGAGATAAACTTACTGCAGCTACCCTTTGTGAAGACAAACTCTTATAAATTCACAGTGGGGCAAAACAACATGCACATATCTGAAGTACATAATTTCAAATCCCATGTATTCAAAGTTACTATTCTTGCACATATTAGACCATTCAAAATCAGGACATTGACACCTGGACACTTGTAGTGCACAAAGTGAAATAAATTCTAGAAATAAGTCTAGTTTATACAGTGAACACAAAGCTCTGTTACATGTAAATCAGCTGAACATAACATAAAATCAAATAGCTACACAAGTATTTCAAAGAGACTTCTCTCTCTCAACAACTTCCACAGAAGAATAGATGGGAATTACCATTTCATCATGTGCCAAAAGTAATTACCATCTATCATCACAATGAACTACAAGATCAAAGGTTTGATGTAAACTCCACTCACAGGTTTCCTAATTTTTATTCCAGCCACACATGTAAATATGGCCAATTTCTATCATTGTATCTATTAGGCAAATGCAGTTTTGAAACTACCCTTGTCCAAGAAAAACTATGAAATAAAATACTGGAGAAAGATGAACAAGTTCATATGAAAAATCAAGTACTCTAAAGCAAAAGCCACAGAATCAGGATTCTGGTACCATCTCTGACACACACCCTCTCACACACAGGATTTAATTTAATATTTAATTTCCTCACATATGATATGAAAAAGTCATCTCAAAAAATTACTACTATTTCACAATCACTTCTTTGAGACACAGGAATGGAATAATTAAAGCGAAAAATGACAGAGAAAATGGGAAATGAGCAAACCTGTCTTTCACAAATACATTTCATATTGAATTGAGAGCTGAGGGCTCTGCTACCTTTGACTTACTTTACCCCATTCTTTACTTGTTCAATCACTGTTTCTTGGTTCACCCACTCAGATACTGCACTTACCTGTAAGCAGACAAGAAAATTTGTAACACAAAGGCAAAACATCTAGGTGCTAATCAAATCTCTTGAAGCTAAATTCCACAACCACTTTAATTCCTGGGCCATCAGTGTGTGCAATTTTAGGGCTTTGTCCCTGAAAAGGGAGGCTTTGAGAAGCATGTATGCATGTGCCTACACTTGTTTACGCTTCAAAAATGACATCAGTACTTAAGCTTTGACTGAAGAGAATTATACAGCTGGTTAACAAGCTAATTCAAAGCACATATTTTTCTTTTTAAAAATCCTTTATACTCAGGGGAAACAGAACAAGTAAATTGCATATTACTAACCAAAATCTTAGTTAAAACATACCAATCACATGCAAAATTCTAGATACTGGACATTCTATAGCTTTGTTTCTGGCCTTGATGCAGATCCTCTCTGAACTTTGCACTGCTACTTCATATTTTTCTCTCAAAATATGGATTTAAAAGAAAACATACGTAACAGAGAGGAATTTACTTACCTGCAATAAGATTGTATCATGCTGACTGCCAGAAGGGCTAAAAATACACTGCTAATCATTTGCAGTAGTCCTAAGAATTCAGTAGCATATTTTTTAAGTGAGAATACCTAGTATCTCAAGTTCTTGCTACAAGCTGTTAACAGTTAAACAGTTGAGTGTTTGGGGTAGAGTAAAGGAACTCCAAGAAATTACACTTCTTTCAGTTAAGTAGTGGTTTTGCTGGTTTAGTTTTGTCACGAAAACCACAAGTTTTCAATCAAAGTGACTGCTGTCACTGACTGCATACTTGATTAACTATAGAAATAATAACAGACAGACTGCAGTGAGAAGTATTTAGGTTTTAACCATGTAAAAATTTGAAGCTGCAGTAAGAATAAATGTTTGGCCTTTAGGAAGAGACAAAATAAATAAACTATTTCTACTCATATTCTATTAATACTAAACTGTCAATTACAAAATAGTACACAAAGATGTGCAAAAAGGCACAATGAAATATCTTAATCTGCCAGATCACGTGCAACATTTGAGAACTTCTCTGCAGCCAGGCAAACCTCCTACCTGTATTTCTCTAGTATCTATAGCTGCAAGTTAGGTAACATACCTGTTTGCCATTTAGAAAAGGCAGTGCTAAAAACAGAGTTGTTGAGACACAGGTGTGATAGATTAGCATTTAAGAAAACAAAGAGAAACACCTAAGGAAGTTAAAACCTCTGGAGGCTGATGGGAGTTTGTCTCCTAGCCAACAGCTGGCCATTTCTAAGAAGTGACAGCAGTTTTAACCATTGAAAAGTGAGATCAACCTGTGAACACCACCTTAAGACCTAAGCCTGGGAATTTGTCTCTTTGTTTCCTGGCTGTGAAAGGTAACAGAGCTTTAGCTGGCTTCCCGTCCCTGCCCAGGCCATGTGGCCCGGGCAGGGGCTGGGCTGGGCCCAGCGGCTCCCGGCCGGGAGATGGGGCCTGCGGGGCTTGCCCTGGGCTCTGGCCGGGCCAGGCCGGTCCCTGGCTCGGCTGCAGTTTCTGCTGTGACTAAATTCACCAGAGACTGCCGAGTAAAGAAAGAAAAAGCTCTTGACCTGCGGAGGGCTGAGACAGTGACCAAACTCTCCAGAGCAGCCACGAAGAATCTTCCATTGCAGACAACTCCAGCTGCTGCTCCGGCAGAGATCACAGAACCATCTACAAAGCCTGGGCAAGATTTTAACTCTTTCATGACCCAGATGAGATTTGCAGATTAATCCTTTTTTTCCAGAGAAAAAAAAAGAGAGTAATCAACATGTAAAGAGACTTTATAAACTATCAGAGACAGTAAAGAATTAAGCTTCAGAAAAGGTAGAGAATAACGAGATGCTTTAATTAAGCTGAAATATTTTTCTGTTAAAGCTATGGAGATGGACAATATAATGTTCTGAAAAAACTCCTTTAATTCATGACAGAGTATATGGGGAGGAATGGAGTGTTCAAAGTGTAGATTTTGAGCAAAAGGTGGAGTAATTGTGATACAGTGAGGTGCTGGAACAGAGAGGGGAGAAGTATTAGTTGAAGATTTGAGGCCTTGAGAAGCAAAGAGAAAACTTCTGTTTCCAGAAAAGCTCACAGAGACAGATGAAGAGAACTTTTACCTTTGAATAACTCATCCTTAAAAATGACATCCCTAGACTCATGACCCATAACACACCTCAGAGTGATGTGAAATGGGAGGAGAACATCTGATGACAGATTTCCGGGCAGCTGGCATCAGAAAAATAGAAAGCTGTAAAAGAAATAGTTTTCTTGTGAGAAACTCCATAGATTAGCAGAAGAAGACTTCTGTTTCCCTATAGAGACTGATGAAAAGATTCTAGCAGGAACTGGGGACTGTTCAAACACCAAAGTTCCGAAGTTTGTTGTCTCTATGTTGTCATGTAAACAAAAGAATGGTTGGGTAGTGGGGGAAAAAAGGGTTTTCTGGAAGTTTTATTTTAGTTTTCTTATTCTTGTAGTTTTGTTAATAAACTTTTTTTATTCCTTTAAAGTTTTAAGCCTGTTTTGCTCTTGTTCTAATCCACATCTCACAGCAAGAAATAAGTAAGTTTTCTAGTTTTTTTTTAGTTACTGCTTTAAAACCATAACAAGAGGGAAAAACAGCTGTATTCACATACTGAAAGTCATATTACAGTGCTGAAGAACAGCAATTGTCAAGACATTTCACACCACTGAGAAATATTCTCACACAGAACAACATTTAGTATGGTGTACAACTAGTGTTCATGTATGAACATTAAAAAGAATAAATATAAATTATTTCATATAGTTAAAATGCAGCTTCAAATGCTTTTACAATTAAGATTAGTATCAGATTACACCACAGATGGCAAAAAAGACAACACCTAATAATTGCTCGGCAGGGCCTAAAAGTTGCTTTCCAACCATCTATAAACACGTGGGTCACTTTGTTAAATACCAGACTTTTAATTTAAAGTAATTAAAATCGGGTATTGATTGACATTTTACAGGTGAGAGCCCTGTAGGAAACCCAAATAAACTGCAGTAAATAGTGGCACCATGGAAATACAAGAAGGAAATCAAGTTTTATTACATCTCAACCTGCTATTTTAATTATTTAAGCAGTAAGAACTGACTATTCTAACCCTGCAAGCTTCAAATGAGAATTTTATTGTTTCAGTAATATCAGTTCACCATTTTAGTATTCTAAACAGAAGCTGCAAATTAATATAAATGAAATATCAGACATTGCAATAGCTGTAGTATTTTAAGTATTAAGTAGTTTAAGTTACAGAGAAGTAACACATTTTTATTGCTGAAATTAAATTTTAAATAGAAAGCTTTAGTTCCTCAAATTTTTTTCCACAGCAGTTCCTCTGAAAGAAGCAGGAAGGAAAAAACTGTTATGCTGCACCTGAACCAATACTCTGGTATTGAGAATTACTTGTTCAGATACCCTTTAGACACACAGCAGTAGAGGCAAAAATTACAGATGTCATCTCTTTTGCTCTTAGCTGTTTTTAACCTTTTAATTATTTGTCTACAGATAGCAGGCAGCCCTCTCTTACTTAACATTATGATCCTAACAGTCCTCAGAAATCTGACACAGAAATTAAGGCTTTAAATCAATACAACAAAAAAAATCATTAAATGCTGGGCTTTAAACACCAGGATTCCTTTATTTTTCCTCAAAATTATTTACTGCCAAATTATGATGCTCAACAGTAGGGTATTAACATGACAAAACATTTTGGGAGAGATGATACAAGAAAAACAACAGTCTGCTCACATTGTATTTTGATCAGTTCCATCTCATGACATGCTTTTGTTATCTGTGATAACACATTTTGCTGATGAATAATAATGACAAAAGTTAGACAAAAACAGAGAGAAAGACAAAGATAAGGGAAATGTATACTTCTCTATTGTATTTTCATACTTGAAAAGCAATTTTATTTTTTCATTAATGCTCCAGTAAGTTAAGTAGGCAGGTACTCTATAAACCTCCCATACAGCTCAAACTATTAGAAAGCATTGATTTCAAATCACTATAGAGTACTAATGCAAACACTAGTCAGCAAAAACCATGAAGTCTCCTATTGTAAGTTAAATATAGATATGTAATAAGCAGAGCTATCTATCTGCAAGGACATAACATACATATAAATAGACTATATGAAGACTGGCTGTCACTACCTAGAATTAAGAAAACTATCACAGCTCTTAATCTCACGATAACTAAGAACTCATCCACATGAAAGTGGCAAGAAAAGCAGCAACTTTTCACTACCAGCACTACAGCAGCAAGGAGCAGCAGCCTTCTGTGTCACTACAAAAAACATTCTGTAAAGGGTCAGATGAGTTACATTTGTGCTTCAAGACCCATGACAGAGCTGGTTAATCACTTAAAATGGCTGTTTCTACTGAAACACAACCTTACAGGAACCATTCAGACTGATGGTTTGGCTGGCACTGTCATTCTGCACAATAAAGCAATGCCTGTCAAAAGAGAGGAACAGCAAGAACTGTTAAACTATGTATTTCAATGTTTTTTCCCATAGCACAGCATGCAATTCAAAATAAATCATTAAAGATTCAACAGAAGACTAACATATCAGATGTTTTTATCTGCACTAACTACTGGATAGGAATACTTCAGTGATTTGTTCTGATTATCCCATGCTTCTGGATTCTAACTTGTAAAATTAATTCTCTCTCTTCATCTTAATTTATGACTCAAATCCTATGCTCTACCTAGCAGGAAACATCTACAAAGAATATTCTGAGTTTTGAAAGACAGTAGCATCAATAGATTCACAACACACTTTCAAAAAAGAAAACAGAGCAACAGACATGAGTTCGTTGTAAGAATGCATAGGGCTGTAAAGCATCTATAAACTGGAAGATCCATTCTGGGGGGAAAAAAAAGGAAGCAAAGCTTGATAGCTTCCTACATTCTAGAGAATAGATCTGTGTCTCAATTATAAAAATATACCCTTTTACTTACACTCTTTACTAACTTCTTTCTTTACACATTAGGTTGATTACATTGATAAGATGAACATAATTAAGTCTGACTTACAAAAGTCTATCTCTACAATTCCTTTTTCTGAATTTATGGAAAGCTACCATCTACACCAATTAATGTTCTTTAGATTTAGACACATACTACCTCACCTCGGTGTTTTTTTCCCAGTTCTGCTCAATATTTATGATTTTTCTCTCTCCATCTCAATTTATTAACAGAATACAAAGACCAGAAGTAACCTGGGCACCCTCACAATCAGTTAAACTAACCAAAAAAGCAATAAATTACGAAAAAAAAAAAAGTCTAGGTTAAAGATTTTTCATACTTATGCAATGCTCAACATAATAATATCAGTAATTTGC